TGAATTTTATGCCTATTTTTAGCTCTGATCTTAGGATCTCCACCTACTATTGGAAAATCCAGCTTGTGGCATCCCAGGCACTTCATTTTTACAACCATATTCTGTTCATGAATCATGTTAAATTTATACATACAGACTCATTCTATGTTTATGGTTACTGTGAAACATTTTCTTCCTCATTTTCTGTAGTAGATGCACTATAAAGAAAGCTGGGACATTTTGGTAAAGTGAACCTTACTTTCTCATCCACTTATTCACATAAAAATTGACTGGCATTCCCAAATGGAACAGGGAACATGTGGGATTTACACAGTAAAATCATTGTCAGTGTCCTATCTCTTAGGACTCGATTCAGTGACATATAAAAGAAAACTCAGGCTTGGCCTAAGCATGATGGAAGGTCTGTCCCCCATGTGCAATAAAGTCTGGTGCTAGGCAGTCCAGGGCTGGGATGCCAGCTCTGTAGTCACTGTGGGCTCAGATCTCTCAGATCTCTTTTCTGTAGCTACCCTTTCATACTAAGCACATGCCTTGAATATGCTATCTCAGAGTATGACTGACATCATGTCTACATTGCCGGAAGCAGAAAGGAATACTGAGTAAAGAACTGAAGGGTCTAATCTACTGAGATGAATCACATTCCTTTCAGGAGCCTTGGTGGAAGCCTTTCATACCAGCCATTTTAAGCTACTGAAGTATAAGCAATATTTCTATTTCTCTCTCATTGAATGAATCTTACCTAGAGTGTGGCCCTTTGTGCCCAGAGAGACTGGGAGTGACTTTTAGCTGGGTTCACTACCACCTCAGATAAAATTAACATTCTACTCCTTAGGAGGAGAGAATGAATGGGTATAGGATAGATGATTCTATCACAGTCTTTGTCACAGTATACTTGAGATTACTTTTTAACCCCAAATGTATTTGTATCAGATTCAGAACTTGACCAGAACTTGTACTTTTCCAGTTTTGCCTTTGTCTCATGCCATTTTTCAGAGTATAGAATTTCTTCTGGTGTTGGAGTAATTTCACCAATCTACACTTAGATTTCCTGTAAATATGATTAGGTATGCAAACATGCCATATTCCATCCTGAAAATGTCTTAAGCTGAGGTGTTCATAATCAGCAAAACAAGTTATAGTCTACTTTATCTCTTTGGTAAGTTCAAAGTACTGATTTAACACTAATAATCCTATCTTTAATACTAAAAATAACTATATATATTGTGCCTTAGTTGGTCACCTATGTACCCCCCCAAATAGTGTATATCTTCAGTAACATAGGCTCTGTAATAAAGTTACTCTTTTTCTGAAAGTTCACATACAACAATTAGGAAGGTAGGGGGTACAAAATGGAGTAAAATCAAAATGTTCTCCAAATGTTAATTAATTCATGCCAATAACTTGGAAGGTAAGTTTTAAAAAGAGTTTGAAAAAAAGAAACTCACTCAAAGTGCTAAGAAGGATTACCTTTGATATTTCTGGGAAGCTTAAAAGGTACTCTGAGGATAGCTTCTCTGAAATGAAGGACACTGTACCTACTGCAGGGCCTTATTTATTTATTTACCTTAAAAATGCTCAGTTTTCCCACTGATTCTGTTATCACATCCACCCCCTATCTGCTGTCCAGCTCAGCTACAGCCATTCAAGTCACCTTGGATGCACTTACTTAAGAGGATGTCAGCAGAGTGCCACCCCAGGCCCAATTTGCTACTCCCAATGCAAAATGTAACTCTGCTCTCCCTTCCAGAACTATTGCCTTCTCTGTGATTCCTCTCAGCCCTTTTCACAGTAAACAGATCTGATGGTAGTTGGGAGTGTGGACATGATGAGCATGATACTCACTTTTAATTTTTCCTGTTCCTGTATTTCATGGGGCACAGAAATAATGGTAGAATTAGACACAGAAGCATCTTAAATTTTGTCAAATCATGTGTCAGCTTTTAAACTCAGCAGCTTTCTAAAGGTGTAAGCTATTACTGACAAGCATGTTCTAATACCTTGACTAGATCTGCTTAAACTAGAGATTGTGTGATTCCAGCCTATATAATGTTTTGTGATTACATGATACAAACCCAGCTCCATTCTCAATATAAATCCAGTATGACTGTATGGTTCCCAGAGTTGACACCTAAAGATGTGCCAAATGGGTCTTTAGCTTCTTGGGGTCTGCCACGTGAGGGTACTCAATAAATACGCATTGAGTGAAAATCAGCGCCATCTATAAGTAGACTGTTTCCAATTTTGTATTAGATTTTTTAATCTACCAAATAAGCTTGTCTCTTTGGGGTACATCTTAATTTCCCTGCAGGTAAACATTCTAGATCCCTTTCTCCTTGTACCAATGTTATGCTTTTCAGAAAATATTGTTACCCTCATTCTTTTTAAAGTTATTAGCAGTTCAGATTTCCTTTCACGAATTCTAGATTTTTTTTCTTACCACTATTTTTAAAAAAACTATAACTATGTGATTTGTTATATATAAAATGTAGAAAGCTTTAAAAGATGTAGGAGACTTCTCTTAATGGGAAATAATCATCATCAGCAGCAGCAGCATCAAAATAGTAATAACAGTGAATAGTATTTGTTGAGCACTTATGTCTAAGCACTGTACACAGGTTTTGTTTTTTTTTTTTACTATAATTGTCTCTTCACAGCAAATCTTCAAATTAAGTATTCCCATTTTACAGATGAGGAAAGTGAGGTGTTGAGAGGTTAGGCATCTTAACTAAATTCACATTGCTAGGATGTGATACTGCCAGGATTTGGAGCCAGGTATGTCTGATTGTGAAGTCCATGACAATTACATTACAAAGTGGACATACTGGGAAAATTTCATTATGAAAGAAGATATTTCATAGCCTCAGATTCATCTGTAATTAATACTGATGTATTTAGATAAAAAATGCCAGAAGTTATTCCGCTGTCTTTCTTTGAAACGTTTGACAGTACACACTTTAGGAATCATAGAAAGAGCACTGTACAGCACAGGGAGAAATAGGGACGGGAGTATTCTTGACTGAATCAAGGCAATGGTTAAAAGAAAAAGGCTTCCTTCTTCCTTTCCAGATTCCTCATGCAATGGAAAAAGAGATTCTCTTCTCTTACCAGAAAACCACCTATTTAGAGAGGGATTCAAAGGCCAAACCAAAGGTGTATGAGAGCAGAATTAACTGTCTTTCTGAAATAAATATTCAGCCTTCTCCATTCATGCATCAGACTTAATGATATGATGACATTGCTACTATATTTGCATTGGACGCTGTCACTGGTAGTTCTGCCAAAAAGAGCCATTTTTAGAACTGGGAGCTCATGTGTGAGTTTCCTATTTGTACACTAGCTATCACAACCTTTCACTTTCTCAAGTGTGTGAAGGGCTTGAGGTTGAATTAGGTAAAGCTGTTTGCAGGTGTAGTCGCTTGCCCTCAATGTGGGTTACAGTTCTTAAAAACAACTTTTGAGGAAAACTTTCTGTTTGATGTGGATGGCGGTGAGAGCTATTTATGTATTGTGGAGTCGGTGCGATTCCCTGATGAGAAGAAAATTCCCAACTGATGATCTAGCATTTGGGCTTGGGTCAAAGTGAATTACAGTATGGCTTTCAAACCTCAGTAGTCCCTTGCCCATCCTTGCGAAGTAGGGTGCTGGTGTTTCTGTGTGTTTTTTAATAGTGGAAAGGGGGTGAGTAAAATCTGTACCTCTACTACTTCTAATCCCATGTGGCTAGGGCTTGATCATCAATCTTCCCGGCCAAGAGACACCTTTTTTTTTTCCCCTTCAACTTTACTAAAACCACAAAGGTGGAGAGGAAAATGCCTATTTGTTAATGTCAGACACCGATTCAAATGGCTTACAGGCTCCAATGAAGCATGAAGTAAGCCTCCCATGACTCAGAACTGGTTCTGTCAAACTTGTTTTTAGATATGGGGTTGTTATAGACATCAAGGCAGTTTGCAAAATAAAATCCTTTCAAGCTTATATATATTTGAAATGGAAATGAATCTACTTTCAGTTTTGTACCAGCAGTTTTGAATAGTATCTTTTATTTTAGCATCCAGATGATAAATTTTATTTTTCATTTCACAAAAACATTTTTCCTCACAAAAAATATGGTAATTTGAAAGCAGATAAGCAAGATAGTTAGAACCTGAGAATGCCTTTCTCATTCTCTTTCTAGATAGAAAAATAGATGTACCTGGATAGTTGTGTGTATAGGAGAAAAAGATGATGTCCTTTTGGAAAGTAAAAAAAAAAAAAAAATTAAATTCCTTCAACTGTATTAAATAAAATAAATGATCCTTTTATTTTTCTTTGGACGTAGGTATTTTCTGATTGACTTCTTAGTTTGATGTCTCACAGATTCAGATATATAGCTGTTGAAATGACCTGCTATCCTGATGGTGGCCAATACAAATGTGGAGACCAGTAGTGTTTCACTAGCAGCATTCACTACAAAACCACACACCTAAGAATACAGTAATATATCATGACTAATAGTCGTAGCACCAGATACTCTTATGTTGCCATGCTCTAATTTCGTTTTTAAGCTTAGGCTACTGGTAAAAGAAGTGATTTAAATTTATATGATACAAATTCCATCCCCCATTCCCCCCAGAATTATAGTAATTTAATTTAACCACTCTAAACTTACCAACACGTGATTTTTTAATTTATAATAACTACTTGGCAACTGCTCTGTCTGTATCCCCACTTTCTTTTCTCTGCACAGCGGATTCAGCTAGAGGAGAACTAAACCACACACTCTTCTCCCAGAACACTCAGTGTGGCATGGCGCTCTTTACCCTCAGTGTTGCTAGTCCATATTGAATCAGCACAGTCTGTGTGATCGTATGCATGTGTACATTATGTAAAGAACAAACTGTAAAGCAGCATCTCAGTGACTGGAGTATAATGACCCCCTAGACAGATTCTTTTTTTGTAAAAAGCTGTTAGAAGTCCATCGGGGAAGCTGAAATGCCTGAGTTCCTTTTGTTTCTTAATAGAGTCGGATCTGGAAGGCCTTGACGATGTAGATACTATTTCCAGCAGCATCGACCAGCAGCTGAAGGAAGCAGTGAGGCGCCGCAGACACGCGGGAGAGAACGATTACAACATCGAGGTGCTGCTGGGGGTGGACGACTCCGTGGTCCGCTTCCATGGCAAAGAGCACGTCCAAAACTACCTCCTCACCCTCATGAACATTGTGAGTAGCGAGTCCTCTCTGAGGTTTTTTGATCTTTAAATTCACTCTGTGTCTTTTGGAAGCCTATGTGAGGACTCCCAGGACCGCGCCCCACATCCTGAATGTGTACATAACTGCATTAGATTCAGATCTTGCTCTCTGCATTTCACATACAAGAATGCAAAAATGAAGGAAGCATGAAACGAAATCTTCTATTGGGTGATCGGCTAGTTTTCCATTGTCATCAAGGGCACATCATAAATTTAAAATGTTGTAATAAGATGGAACTTTACCGTGAATTGTGATTTTCATTTTGTTTTAAGGATAATCAAAACTCTCATGACTTTGTCCACCTGCCTTGATCTGGGCCACAAAGGATGAAATAGCATCGTTTTGTATCCCAGGGTGACAAAGAATGATTTAGGCCTCATATCTGTGTGGATTCTTGTTGCTAGAGCTTTTGAATAAGAGTGATATTTTTCAGCATTATACAACTGAAGGTAATCTATGTATAGAGCATGGTTAACCTTTGGAGCCCTGCTGCACTGCAATAATAAAGAGCTCTTTAAATTTTTCCTTTATTTCTCCTTTATGAGCCTTAATCATAATGCAGAGGAAATTTAGTCTACATCCTAACACTGGAATTCTCTTTTTCCTTGTGAATTGGCAGAGAGCAATTGAGGAGAAATAGTATATAAACCACCTACCTCTAAAAGATAATTGATATAGTAGTATGCTCCATTTTATATACTTTACCTCCTAGAATTATGAAATATACATTTGCTGATCTAGAAAATTTATTCCCTAAGTCTATTCTCTCTTTTTCAGCTTTGGCTTTATTTAATTTCTTTAGTTATCTCTATTGTTTACCTTCTTCTTTCCATGCTTCAGATTAGATTTCAAATTATGAAAATGGAGAATAATTATTAATTTTATTAATCATTATTTTATTTCTACTAACATTTAAGCCTATGTGTTAAATATATTGTTGTTCATTGAGATACTAGTTTATAAAAAATATATATACCATGTGCCTGGTTAGATGGAAAGGCAGCATAGAAATTATTTTTGTTTGCTCATTGGCACTACTTGCTGTTATGAAGACTGAACATCACACAGAAAACAAATTATTAGCTTTGACAATAGATGTGCATGGAGGATCGTTATTTGTAAATTACATGAATGTCTTCACCTATTAACTTTTTGTAGACTTTCTAGTGATGAAACTGTGGGCATGCTGTTTAGGCTCTCTGTGCCTGCTTCAGTCTCTCCATCAATATAAGAAAAATAATAGGACTTACCTAACAAGACATGTTGAGAGGATTAAATGCGTAAAAACAAGTCACTTTGTTTAGTGCTTTGTTTAGTGCTGTGTACACATGTAGAAGGAAACAATCATGTTTTAGTTTTTCACATGAATTTACTTCCAAAATTACGTAAAATTTAAAAACCCTTAGAAGATGGTGTTCAGTTACATCATTCACTGTGCCCTGGGATGCCTTGTCCTACCAGCAGGGATAGCAGTCATTCCTTACGGACTTATTAGGCTCCCTCCGGGTACTCAGAACTATACACGGAGTCATGCTGCAGAGATTTGATATGGTCTGTCCTCACAGAACTTATAATTTAGTCAAGAAGCAAAGAGAAAAAGCATAGGGGCTTTTTTTTTTTAAGTTAAGCAATAAAACATGCTATTATTAATAGTTATATTATAGGTGCTCTACTATAAATTGCTATAAGACTTTGGAGAAGGCAGCTGTGACAACAGTCATCCAAGTCATGAAGGAGTGAAAGTGTTAAATTAGGACTTCAGAGGCAGGAGCTTTCATTCTAGTTCTGTTACCCATTGGCTCGGTGGCCTTAGTCAAATCACATCCTTTCCTGGGATTTCATTTATGTGTTTATAAAATCGAAAGGCTCAATAAGATATTCATTAATTCTGGTAATTCATCAGGAAGTTGGGAGTTAAACTGGGTATTTAGGGATTTGTTTTTATATGGTTGGGGTTTATTTTTTTTTTAATTTTTTAATGTTTTATTTATTTTTGAGAGAGAGAGAGATAGCATGAGCAGCCGAGGGTCAGAGAGAGAGAGGGAGTTATAGAACCTGAAAACAGGTGCCAGGCTCTGAGCTAGCTGTCAGCACAGAGCCAGATTCAGGGCTCAAACCCACCAACTGTGAGATCATGACCTGAGCCAAAGTCGGACACTTAACCGACTGAGCCACCCAGGCACCACCCCCCTTTTTTTTTTTTTTTGCTTTGTTTACTTTTGTTTTTTGAAGAACCCATGAAAACATAAAGGACTTCCAGGTAGAATCTTTTGACAAGAAAGTAGAAATGGATAAAGTTTATGTGTCAGAGAGCAATTCTAATTTGAAAGATATCAAAGAATAAAACAAAGTGCAACATTTTAGGTTTAATAACAGTACAAAGGGCTGCTTTATTTTTAAGACCATTAAAAAGGTTAGATAAAAGACTGAGTCTTTGTCTCAAATTCCAGAAATTATTCTAAAGTCAATAGTCCATCAGAGAATGGAACTACAGTAGAGACAATAATTTTTAAAACTGCAGAAGTGCATTGCATCTGAAATCATTGATGTAGGAAGGGGTTTGGCAGAGACAATAATAACACTCCTCCTTTTCCTTTCCCAAGTTCATAACCAGCTGAAAGTTAAACATGGTCACGAGACAGACAGAAAATTGTTTTATTATTGATGCAAGCTGAATTGCGCATAACTTAAGTGTATAGCCACAAAGATTTTCCTTATTCTAAATCAACGATTCTCAGCAGAGGGCGCTTTGTCCCAGCCTCTGTTTCCAGGGACATTTGGCAATGTTTAGAGGATTTTAGTTGTCACAAATGGGAGTGGGGTATTGTTAATGCCTTTAGCAGAAGAGGCCAGGGATGTTGCTAAACATCGCACAAGGACAGCCCTACACAACAAAGACTTAGGAAGTCTTTATATTATATTTAGGTATATATATATATGTACACATACATCATGTGATCTACAATGTCAGTAGTACTAGAGATAAATCCTGTTCTAAATTAGACAAACTTACAATTCCCATCCCTCTCCAGCTGAATAATTTCAGGTTTCCTTTATAAGAGCCAGCAGACCACTTTAAGTATGACAGACTGAAGACCGAATGTTTTCTTCTTCTTCCTAGCCCCCCACCCCCGTCGCTCTGTTGTAGACTATTAGACTTTCAGATCCCAATCAATGAAAGGAACATGCTTATTACCCTCTCTCAAACTGATCAATTAGATAAGAGTTGGACAATGATATTCTAACAAAACTGCCTTATGGAAATTTAAGGCAAAAAAGTTGGTTTTCCCCCTCACCTAACAATGTTTGAATAACTATTACCTCCTGTGTTAACCATGCTTTATGACTTCCCATGGTTGTCTAAAATCATGGCTCACCAAATTTGAGGCCTACACAGACACACAGGCTTTCTACCTGTCATACAGGTTCAGACAGAAACCGTAGGAGAAAACGGAGCGAAAGAGTCTGCCTCTTTGCATTGATTTGGGAAGAAATGTGTCCCTGTGGTAGAGAACATGGCTTCTTTTAACATCATGTGATACCCTTGCCTTATTTGAGTGGTCAGTGAATACATTCTTCCTTTAGTTTCCTTGTTGGTCAGTTTAGTTTCCATACCAGATCCCAGATGATATTTACCATAGACAGTTTTGGAACTATTGGAGTACTTTTATGTGTCCAAGTATTTTTCTTCATGATTGTCACTTTAATTTAAACTGACCTCATTTTAAAAGAGGAGTTTGTATTTCTTATTTCATACTTTTTTATCTTAAAAAGTCCGTGGGTGGCTCAGTCAGTTGAGCGTCCAACTCATGATTTCAGCTCTGTTCATGATCTCATGAGATTGAGCTCCCCCGTCAGGCTCTATGCCAAGTATGGGATTCTCTCTCTCCTCTCTCTCTGCTTCTCCCCCACTTGCACACATCCACTCTCTCTCTCTCAAAATAAACATTTTTTTAAAAACAGAAGTTCTTAAATTGTTAAACATTAAGCATCTGTTTAATAAAAGAATGGATAAATAAATAAATGAGTATAAATAAAAGAGATTATGAACAATCTTGGGAGGCAGAAATTCAGACTTGAGGCAAGAGGCTACAGATGACAAATGAAGGCTTTGAATCAGCTTAATGATATAATAAGTGCACATTAAAAAATCAGGTAACATTTATTGGGTGTCATTTTTTTTCAAGTTTATTTCAAGATGAGAATTATTATTACCCCTTATCTAGAGGAAACAGGTTTTAAAATGCTAATAAAATTGAGGTAAATTTTTAAAATTATTTGAAGTGTGTCACACAGTCTCAAATGAGAGTGGTGGTGGTAGTCATTCAAGGAAGACAGAGTGGAGCTTCCTGGTTGGTGATTACATCAGGGTGCTGGGAGGGCAGCCCCCTTGGAAAGAGCACAGAAGCCCCATACCCCACCTCTATAGGTTCCGGATGCCTCCCACATCCACTGCCCTATGCGTCTCTTCTGTCTGCCTGCTCCTGAGTTGTATGTTTCATTTCAAAATCAGCAGGGGTGCCCAGGCAGCTCAGTCAGCTGAGCGTCCGACTCCCACTCGGGTCATGATCTCACAGTTCATGAGTTCAAGCCCCACGTTGGGCTCATTGCTGTCAGCCTGTCAGCACGGAGCCCACTTCGGGTCCTCTGTCTCCTTCTCTCTGCCCCTTCCCTGCTTGTGCTTTCCCAAAAATAAATAAATATTTTTAAATAAACAAATAAAAATCAGTAAATGTGGGGTACGTGAGTGGATCAGTCGGTTAAGCGTCCAACTTCGGCTCTGGTCACGATCATACGGTTTGCGGTTCAAGCCCCACATCGGGTTCCCCGCTGTCGGCACAGAGCCTGCTTCAGATCTTCTTGCCCCCCTTCCCACCGCTCCCCCATGCCTGTTCTCGCTCCCAAAAATACATATTAAAAATTTTTAGAAAAATAAATAAAAATCAGTAAATGCATAGGAGGCAGTAGTC